TATTATATATATATATATATCTNTATATATATATATATATATATATATATATATATATACAGAAGCCGCGATGGCTTTAATTGGGGGTTAATTAAACGCACGAGTCCACGAAGAGAGGTCAAGATTCGCCTGTCAAGGGCGGTTCTCCAAGGATTGGATTTTCGTGGTCGTTCCACTTGGGAACCGCCCTCGAGGAGTCCCTGGCGTATGTCTTTTTCGATGGTAATAAATTTCGATGATCGACCACTTGTGAAAAATTATTAATCTAAGTGTTTCGACGAATAATAAATTCGACGAGTAGTAAATTTAATTTTCGAAGGATGAATTTTTCGAAACGTATCATTCTATTTTCTTTTTTTAAAGCTATCACAGAGGAATTTTCTCGTTCTTCTTTTATCTATATCTCATCGATGTTTCATCCTGGAGAACGTCGAGGACTCCATCGGCCGAGTTATATATTTACAAGTACAAGACACCAAGAACAAGGGACACACAGAACATTAAATAGACGATCATAAATCGATCAACGATCGAGCACTCGCACTTTTTCTCTTTCGTTTTTTATTCTCTTTCTCTCTCTTTCTCACTCATTCTCTCACTCACTCTCTCTCTCTCACTCTCTCTCGTGAATTTTATCGTTTGCACACGTTTTCACTTTGTCTATACACCATCTAGAACATAGATCGTCCCGGTGTGAACGTCGAAGAAAAATTCGAGAGGCGTTTTGTTCGAGAGCGAAAGACATCTTGTTTTTCTTCTTCTTCTTCTTCTTTTTTTTTTTTTTTGTTTCTTTCTTTTCTTTTCCACGAGGAAAAATGTAATAATATTTATATATCGGAGTCTAGTACGATCGTATTCGATGAACGAACGCGAGAAAGATACTAGAGAGAAGTTTGTTCAACAGCGAGTTCTGCGAGTAAAACCATGCCGTCGAGATATTTTTCGTTAGTTACAAAAAAATATATCCTCGCGCGATGCGTTCGAAGAGGCTAAATCGTCTTTCTAAATCGAGAAGTGCCGGATCGTTGAGCCCTAGTTCCTAAAGTACCAGCTATTTTTTTCATTTTTTTTTGTTTCCTTTATTAATTAAGTATATATATATATATATACATAAATATATATATATTGTGTGTATATATATTTATACGTATATACATACGTGTATAGAGAGAAAAGAGAGTAAAAACGAGCCTCGTCCGCCTCGAAAAATGAACGTTTTTTTCACGACGAAAGGAAAGTCGTGACGGACGAGATCTCGATATATCGGGTGTGTGAAGAGTTTTTCGAAAGTGTAGCGATTTTTTTTTCCCCCGTTTATCTTACAGTCTAGCTCGAGAATGGAAGATTATATATAGCGAGGGGAAAAATTGGAGAAATAAAAAGAAAAAAAAAAAATGAAAAGGAGGGATCGAAGGAGGGAAAGGAATAGATTTTAGATTGGAAAACGCGCAGACAAGGGTTGAACTTGCACAATTCGTCTCAACATCCGCACGGTTGTTAACTCTAAAAAATACGTGTCCGCCCATCGAAAAAATGCTCGTCTTCGAATAATCTTTTTTTTTCTTCTCTCTCTCTCTTAAGTACATACCCTACACGATTAAAACCTTAGAACCTTTAACGTTTTTTTTTTTTCTTTAAACCTTAGATCGAACTCTACACTATTATGTACAACAACACGGTTTTTTTGAGGTCTTTTACTGTTTGTGCCTGCCTATTTTTTTTTTTCCACCCATCTTTTCCTCTTTCTTCGATGTACACCCTTTCTTATCGAGGGAACATCGAAATTTTCTTCTTTTTCTTCTTCTTCTTTCGTTTCGTTTTAATCGCTAAATGTGAAAAGGCTTCGGGCTACTTTCAAGGTACGCGAATTCTCGAGGTTTACACGCTAATATTTACACGCTTACGAGTGCTAACAGTGTGCTCGCCGTCGAGTCACTCTTCTCGACGGTCGATCATTTTCTTCTTCTTCTTCTTTCTTTTTTTTTTTTTTTCTATACAGATATTACACGCACGTGACGAACTATTTTTCATTTCGAAAATTGTATTTTTCTCTGCCCTGCCATTCTTGCTACGGAATTCGTGACTATCGGAGACGTTGGACGAATTTTTCGAATTATTTGTTCCAGCGAAACAATCTATAAAACGTTTATTTTGAACACTTAAATATCTTATATCACTAGAAGAAGTAGTTTCAACCGATACTATCCGTTTATCTGTAAATATTTAATATCGATACGTAAATTTTTCCATCTGCATTCGCCCATATGATATTAATTATCGATATCAATTTTGCCCAAATAAAGAAGATTATTCGTCTAATAAGAGATGCACATTTTTTTTTTTTCAAATAGAATTAATTTTCAATAAGAAGAATTAATGTATTAATTTCATTTCAAAACGACTGGATTATCCTCTTCTTTCAAACCTTAAATATATATATATTTATATATAAAATTAGGATTTAAATATATAATTAAATCGAATAAATACGCTTATAACGAAATAAATGCTTGCTCCATCTCGTGAATTCTCTCGTAATAAAGAGAAATGGAAGTTTATTAAAAATTCTAACTATCTAAAAAAAATCCCTCCAACGTCTTAAAAATCTAGAAACGGAGAGCGGAATTGAACAAAGCGATGGGGTCGATGGCGATTTATTTAATTTAACAATGGTATATTGGCAGTGCTGATGCGAAAAACTGTACTCCGGGGAAGAACTACGATCGGTAGAATCCTCTTTAGAATGAGATACGCTGTGGCACGTGCGAATGTATTTTTTTTTTTTTTTACCTTCTATTCTGCATACGAACAGACGTGCGTCTGGAAAACTGGTTTCTCTTCTCTACAAATGGGTTCGCCTCGTTCGATTCTTGTTCGTTTTTTTTTTTTTTTCTACTTTCGTCAATCTTCTTGAACTTATAATTCCTTTTTTTAATTTCTCAAAGTATTTCGTAAATGGAAATTCATTTCGAAAAATGAAAAAACTTTTTCCTAAAAATAATTTGCAAATGAAATCGAAACGTTCGAATTTCTTAAATATAATTTTAAGCGTTTAAATATTGAATATATAATTTGTTCTTTTAAAAAATGGAACAAAGTGTATTGCAGTCTTTAACCTATTCTCTCTTTTTTCAAACGTGTCGCAGAGTCGCGAATGAATCACGTGAAAAGCAAATCGCTACGAAAAACTTCGAAATTTCCCAAATTATTCAAATATCCGGAAATTGCTCCTCTTCTTCGATCTTCTCGATCTGTTTTCTTCCCCCCCCCCCCCTCGTTTTCCTTACCTCACCAACAGATCACCACGAAACAATTACGCCATTTTGTGTTTTACTGTCTGTCATAAACGGTCCGCAACATTTGCATCTATGTAATTTTTTCTTCTTTCTCGACCCGTTTCAACGCATTATTCCAACGAACGCAGAATGAAACGAGGCGATCCGCGTTTAAAATCGTTTTCTAGGACCCCACGACTGCCCACGCTCCTTTCTTTCTTTCTTCTCTATCCTTAAATTGCGAAAGGTACTCGTTCTAAAACTTCGAACATCGTTATACTTGAATGGAAACCGTGCTTGGATACGTCGATGGAATCAAGCGAGTCAATGAATCAAGCGCATTTCGATCTGTACATTTTGTTAAGATATCTATCTTTTTTAAAGTCTCCATCTTAACACGCGAGTGTTATCCCCCTAAAACAATTCTGCGACGAGGAAAAATGTTTTTTTACCACCGTGCCTACATTTTAAAATGATTCTACGTGAAAATTCAAATATTATCTTTTATTTTTAATCTATATCTCGCAGTCGCAGGGTTCTCCAGAGTTTCTCTAAATTATATTGAATTATTTCGTTTTCGTGCCCTGTACTATCGATTACTCGCAATTTAATATTTCCTTCAATGTGTTTTTTTTTCCTTCGTGTGTTCCCGACTATTCTAACCACGTGTTTATATTTAAGTTGAATCGACTTATGTGTGTTATGAGAATGTGTGTGTGTGTGTGTATGTTTATATACGTGTGTTTATATCGTAAACGCAATATATTAAGGCCTCTTAGTTACTAACGACAGGTCGTCACGTTCTCATCCTCCGAGCTACGACGCTACGACGATACGAAGATGGCGACAGAATTTGCTTACCGCTTCTCTTCCATCAGAAAATTTTCCTTTTTTCGTCAAAAAAAAAAAAAAAAAAGGAAAAAGAAATATTGTATTCCAACATGTATGTACACGCGAAAATCGAAAAGTGCTTGGCTTTGTGTATATAATACTCGCATCTGGGGGCAAAAGTTGATTTTTGCCCGAAATTTGTTTGTAAGAAAGGACGAGAAACCTGCGTCTCCTCTTGCCTCGTCGCTTGGCCACCGAATCTGATGCATGTGCGATGATGGATCAATCGGAAGGATCACGGAGAGACAGGCCAGTCGATGTTTAAGTAAGTATACGATTAATTTTATCGCCTCTACCGTGCTCGTTTACACGTGTGTATTTCAATTTTTTTTTTTTTTTTTTTTAGGATTTTAGAGAAGAGCGCTCGTTTCATTAGAGCACCCCCTCTGGAGTGTGGTATTTGATGATATTTCAACAAGTGTGTAACGAGTTACGTATGCAAATTATTGGGTATGATTTAAACTTTACTTTGAATTATGCTAAATTCTTGTTTTTCCTTTTTTTTCTCTTTAGGAGACGATTCCCTCTTCACAGTGATCTTGAGTGAACCTGACCAAGTCTTTTAGAAGTTTGAGGAACTATAAAAGGTATCTTAAGTACGATCTAATCCCTATCTTAATTCGTTTTAAATTTCTCTACTATATGTGGCTCACTGTCATCGCGGAATCAGACATTGGATTCTTGGCAGTATTTGGTACAACATCCTCGAAATGGAATTATAGGTATTATTGACTGGCTCTGTCTCTCCAAATAGAAACGAAAGCTTGATTAAAAGCAAAGCTTGAACTGAACTCAATGCGGTGTCGAAGGAAAGAGAAACAGTGCGCGATAAAAACCTGTGAAAGAAACGTTGCTAAAAGAGGTCAGTGCTTAGAGGTAGGTACTGAAAAATATAAAAAAAAATAGGCAGAGAAAAAAAAATGAGTGAAGGTGGAGGAGATGAAGAAACAATAATAATAATAATAATAAAAAAAAAAGTCGACGTGCCAAATCGGAGACAAGAG